ACCTTCCCCTTTACCTCCTGCTCTGGACACACAAGTTCTCGTCACGCGAAGGTCACACCTCCACATTTCTGCCTCAATGCCAACAGCAAAAAAAATTACAGCCCAACCTCCATCTCAAACAAGTCGCTCCTTATGGCTGTCAGAGGCCTTAGAAAACAAGTGATAAAGCAACCCAAGAGTTCAGCGACTGAGGCGCAGGGATGTTGAAACACCCCAAAGCCTGCTTGGGATGTCCTACAGGACATAAGTCAGACACCTGACGAATGATGACTTCATGCTCACTCTGTCACCTCCCAAATGCCATCTTCTTCCTCATCACCCACGGGGACTTCTGGATTTTCTGCCTACTCCGATGGGAAGGGAGACGGAAATGTGACAAAAGAAAATGAAGACTGACAAGAAGTATAAAACTTCATTTGATGCAAAGAGGACCTTCCTGTAAGTTTACAATAAACATGCCAAATCTTAATTTAAGGAGCTATCCAAAATAACCAGCCTCTATTAATCAAAGGCAAGCGAACACTGAGATCTTGGAATGTCAATTATTCTACCTGGCTAGCAAGGTCACACGTTTTGAGGACTTTGTTAAACATCTTGAAGGCACTCCACTTAACTCCATCAGCAAAATAAGGCACTGCGTTCGCCAACATCACGACATGCTCTTGTTCTTCTGGAAGCTGCAAAGCAGTTCAGAGTAAGAAAGCTGCGACCATAACTCATAAACCTGACTCATCTTTCTGCCGGCTTGTAAATGAACGGCATAGTTAAGCACCACGTTCCTGTCCAAAGCAGGAAAAACATCGTTCAGAGAAAAGAAGGAAATAGGAAATGGTCTGTCCACCTCTCCATAAAATGTCGTGTGTTTTAGCCAGCTTCCACCCAGCCATACACCCCTCATTTCTCAGAAAGCTCAGAGCAGCTAGCCAGAGACCAACTCCAAGCTCCTCTAACCAATTTGGCGAGTTTCCTAGAGCACGCAGAAACTGGATTCATACCAAGACTGAGAGCAAACCGCTCCAGCAGCCCCATGGAATGACCTCACCCCGTCACCAGACGTCTTCCCATCCTCACTTGATGCTGTCAGCCACGACATTCGGCTGACTTACCTGATGGAGGCGGCAGGAATCCAGGGTGTTGTGCTTAAATGCTGCAAGGTTTCCTCTACGGCAATGCGAATGCATCCAAGTGCTGCCAGAAAGCACTCCAACGCTCCACTACTTGCAGGATTTTACAAAGCCGAAGCCTTTCTGACCGATTTACCTAAATGACTGCTTCTCCGTGACAAAGCAGACCAGACAAAATGGGCTCAACTGATAAAAATAGCGTAGCTGCCTAGCCACCCATCAGCACGCGTGACTACCTCACCATCGTTCAAGATTATTCTGCGACTTGATGACATCAGCTGATAAAGAACCAGCATCACACGTTAATGTTGGCAATCAGACACGTTTTGAAGGGTTCACAGCTGATGAGTAGCTAACGGCTATAACCTGTTACACGGCAGCTCGTGTGACAGCACTGGTGTCTGCGCCTACTCCATCTTCCCAAAAATGTCACCTAGGACCAATGCTTTGCACTGTCTCCCAAGCAGAAACCTCACAACTGTTGTGCCTTGCTGTTTCACCTCTAAATGATTTCCTGAGCAAATGTGAAGTTCAAAATCTCTGATGGCAGACCTGGTACACACGCTCCGCAGCACACACACGGACGTGCCTCCACATCCCTTAACACAGATCTGGGAAAAAAGGCAGGAAGGAGTAAGCTGCTGCCACCAGAACAATTATTAAACTAATTAGTTTAGTAGTATTAATAAACCGATACTAAACCAGCTCCTCTTCACTGAGGTCACATCTGGGCCACAAAGGACCCTGCACCAGAGGAACCATTTTCTTTGTTGCCCTCCTGATTCACAACTTTCTTCTGGCTGCTCGTCACATCACAAGGTGGATGAGAATAGGTACTTTGAAAAGAGAAAAACACGGGTGTCCCACAGAGATGAAAGCCAAAAGAAGATTGCTGCTGCCCCAGAAAGATTACCTTCGCCTTTACTCTGCTTGCTGAGTATCCTGAGCTGTCTCAAAAGACAGAGCTACGAAATGATCCGCACTGTCCCAATATCTCTAACGCAACTCTCTGTAACCTTCAGAGGCTGTAAATCGCACATGCCTGCACAGTGGAAAGACTGGAGATAAGGTGGCCAAATATTCAGGAAAATAAAGTTATCAAAGGTAAATCAAAACCGGTTCCCGTTGTTATTTAACACCAAGAACTGATTTTATGTACTTGTTCTTCAACTCTCTTTGTGCTTACACGAAGACAGCTGAGATTTGTTTTTAAGTATCGTGCATACTGTAGGTTAGACATCTGAATTTTTCCTTCACAAAAATGTAACTTCATAGCACAGGAAGAACGCTATAATTAAATTCATTTGTGAAAACAAATATAAACAAACACTTTCACATGCCTGAATTACGCATACTGTTTATAACTCCCAGTATGTTGATTTCAATATTCTTGTATTATAACCGAACGAACGTGCTTCAGCATTATGGTGCACGTAACCTGTCCTATTTCTCTTAATACCATTGTCTGGCATTTATTATAACTAGCAGATATCTTTGTAATAATCGTGTAATTGAGGCCATTAAAAGAATTTTACTAATTCCTTGTTTACTGCCCTGACTACAACTAGATTATTCTTGACAATTCAATACAGAAAAGTAATTCTTTTGAAAACAACGCTTCCAATGAACTAGTTGTTAAAGAACTTCAAAATAACACATATATATGCAGAAGGCCCTTTTTTGAGATAATGTATTACGCTATACAAGAGAAAATACCATTCATGCAATTATAATTCGCACAACAAAGCAGCGCAATTTCTAGTATAATAAATATTTGATGCGTTTTTACTGATGTACTACAGCTATTCCACAACAACAACAAACTCTGCCATGTCCAGAGCTTATTTTCTATATACATTTCGCACCAGATTGCTTGACTCAAAAACTTTGGCTAATAGCTTGGATGTTCATGGATGTTCTCAGATGTTTCTGTACACGTTCTTTTAATTAAACAGATGTTAATCAGGACTCTTACTGCTTTCCAAAAGCTAAAAAGCGGTATTCTCTCTTAATAAGAGGCACTACAAATTACGCGTCATCTAAACATAACGTAGCCTCACTGAGAGACAAATTTTCAATGTCACAAATGAGAGTTGATTATTGGATGGAAATAGACGTATTTGAATAATTTGAACTAGTAGCAGTTGTTCTAAATGCCTGCCTGGCCTAGACACAATGCAGAAAACAGTTTTTGTTTCAAGGCATTGGAGGGATTAATTTGTTTTTATTGTTTTACAGGAAACAAATCGAATATCTTCACAGCACTATAAAAAAGAAGACGCAGCGATCACGCTGATCAGGCTGAAATTACTTCGGTGAGGAATTCATCAAAAACCCTAATGACAGCAACAACAGGATTCTGGACAAGCATCCCAAATGCCGAGGCACAGCTCAGCACTGGGGCAGGCTGACCCTGGGTAGAGCCCAGCTCCGAGGCTCGGGGCGCTCCCCTGGCCCCCCAAAGCCCGCAGCTGCCGGGTGAGCCCCTTCTTCTCCTTCCCTCATCCTGGAGCCTCCTGTGGCGCCTCCCAAACACTAAACAACAGCCGTGACACCCCGAGAGCCGAAGCAGGAACCACCCCACGTTACAACCAGGCGAAAGGGGCGCCGTGCCTCAAGTCTCCCTCAGCCCTGCCCCGGCTCCCCCCCACCCCGGGGCCTCCACGAGGGGAAGGCGCCGCCGCCTTTTGTGCCCCCACAGCGCCTGCCGAGCCCGGGGGGGGGGCTCTGCCCAGCCCCAACCCGACCCCTGGGGACGACAAGCGGGGCCTGCTCCCCGCCGCGGGCCCGGAGGAGGGAGCCCCGCGGGGCAGTGCCCGCTCCCCACCCCCCCGAGCTGCTCCCGGCTGCCGGTCCCCGGGGGCCAGCGCCTCCCTTCAGCACCCCCCCCAGGCTGAGGCGCCGCAGGGCCGGGCCGGGCCGGTTACCTGCTGGCTGAGGGGGATGAGCGCCGCCATCTTCCTCCCGCTGATTCGGGCAGCGGCCGGGGCGGGGGAAAAGGCGGGGGAAGGCGGGGAGAGCGGCGGCGGGAGGCACCGCCGGGCCTCCGGGGCCTGATCCGCCGCCGCTGCCACCACCCCCAGTGAGAGGAGCCGAGGCTTATCGGGCTCCGGCAGCCGTCCCCGCCCCGAGGAGCGGGGGCTGAAGCGGCGGTGAAGGCCCGCAGTCGGTTTAGCTCCCCGCCGTGGCTCCGCTCCAGCTGCCTCAAGCGAAGCTGGCGGTGACCCAGCTCTACGGTGGGGATGAAGTAGGGCTAGGGAAGGTAGGAGCTGCCTTAGGGAACGTTGGTGCAGGTAACTCACTGATCGGCCTTTTAGCTGGATGAGCTGCGGCCAAGTTAGCTTTTGACTTGGTTACACAAAACGTTATGGAAACAGACTTCGCCTGGTTAAGCTGCCTCAGATCTCTGATCCAACATTCAGCATCAAATATAACAGGGTTAACAACTCCCTGCCTGGCCAGTACAGATATCAAAGAGCAGCCTGAACAAGGCTGGTCAGTGCAGTCATATAAAAGCTAAATCAAGAGGAACTGGTGTAGGAAAAGAACTAAAAACTGTCAGTGGATTGTTTTTCAGTGCCTGTAAAAATTCTTTACTCCATAGGGTCATTGCAAGTTGTCTTACAGGGTGCAGGACTAAGATAAGTGAAGGAATTTGACCTCAATTGCACTACAGGACAGAAACCGAGCTTCCACTGCTCCTTCCACTCCCCATTTTCTTACTACACTGAAGCGTTGAGGCAGCAGCAGGGGAGGTGGTATCAGAGTAGCTAAGAAGTAAACAAAAAATTATGGGCTCGAAGTCTGGCTACAGTTTTAGAAAAATTTATGGCATTACTTTTAAGAAAAGAAAAGAAAAAGCCCACACCTAGAAATGCAGAAGAGCACAAAGACAAGAGAAAAGAACTAAGAAAAGACACGTGATAGAAGTGACTGAACAAAGTTAAAAGAACAAGTTACAAGAGGTCAAACAAAAATATGCAGTGGTTCCTGGTTCAGAAACACGCACTGAAGCCAAAGAGAAAGGGAGCAGCTACAGCAAGGGCCCAGCAGCGATACAACTGCAGTAATCCTTGGAACAGGGACAGGTGCACAATTACTACAGAAGCTTAGCAAAGTTTATCTTCTTAGTTTGAAGTATGTAGTGAAACACACTTTACACATCTGACATGCAAAATCCTTTAATGAAATAACAAAACGCTCATTTTGATCTCTTCAAAATGAGCATGAATTTTAATATTAAATTATGAGAAACCGTTCCAAAAACGGTGCTTTTAATGTAATACTTAAGATGTATTTAACACAATTGCAATAAAAGGTAAATTTTTAATAACATTAGAAGTACACTATAGTACTTTGTAACAAAACTGAAAGTTCACAAAATATTTTTAAGTCCAGCCTTAATACAACTTCAACAATGCAAATTTCAACAAGCTGTTAGCAAAACATCAAAATCTTTATAGAGATAACTGGGAAAAAAAATGTCTTTCACATAATTAAAGCTCTTCTTTCTTGATAGAGCTCCTCATCACTCGATCTCTTTGAGATTTTCTTTTTTCCTTTATTTTTTTCTTAAATCGTTGCTCAAAGTATTTTTCTTCTATGACCCTCTCTCTCTCCTGCTCCTCCTCAGTCTGCCTGATGTTCATTTCCTTTTCGGGATCCTAATATTAAAGATTTCATTTTTGTGCACCAATAGGATCTTGCTCAGACTCAACAGAATTTTTAAGGTGTGACAATCAAGAACCAAAATAAACAATAATTTCATGTACTACCTTTGTTTCTCCCCATGTTTCATCTCCAAAGTCTTCTGCATAATCCTCATCATCTGTTATCAAGAAGTTGTCAAAAATTGTGCCAGCTCTCACCTTTGAGGAAAGAGGGGAAAAAAAAAAAAAACAAAAAAAACAAGATGCCTCTTATTCCTTTATGGTTCTAGTTTCATTCTTCTAATAATGTTTGCATTATATATTTAATAGATAGAAAACACAATAAGAACCCCATAGCTTTTTGCAGAATTTGATAAAGAATTCTCTCTGGTTTTGGAAAACTATTTTCAAGAATTGAAACAACTTAATTATACTTTAGATACTTTACTGCTCATAGAAATTTTAAGTTTCAATTCTAGATACTGAGGAAACCTGAGGTAGAGGAATACCTCAGAAGGGCCTCCAGAGGGCAGATTTCTCCTTGTTAACCTTTGAGAAAGGAGTAACTGAGCTGCCTGAAGCCTCTGCTATGAATCCCAAGTCAGGTGGAGTAAGTCATACTTTCCAACACTCACACAGATCAGTTTAGGCCCCTTACTTATCTGTACATGGCTATGAACCAAGAAACAACTACAACAGAAGACCAATGCATTTTTTTTTTTTTAATTCTTTGCAGTTTTGTATATATATTTAAATAAAAGCAAGTTAAGAACACTGTCCATCAAAGATTCCAAAATAACAGATAATGCTTATATTCAAAGGGTAAACGAACTGCCACACATCCAGTGAAAGAAGTTCATTATTTTCCACTATCTGCAGTAAACTCAACTCACCTGCCAGATATCTAGTCCAATAATGCTGATGTTTTCAAAACTGTAGATATTGTAATCTGGCGAGTAATTTGGATTGTCAATCTTTGGGTGAGGCCAAACCCCTCTGTAATTTGGGTTATCAATCTGCCTTGGTTGCCACTCCCCCTAGGATAAACCGCATATTCTGAATACAGTCAGGGAAAGAAAAATTGCTTAAGATGGTATCCATAACTAGATCTACAGGACTATTTATACTCTGTATAGAGGATTCTTGATCATAGGGTAACTCCATTTTCCATTCACAGAATCATTCCAGTCTTCAGGTTTCTCAGCACTAGTGTCCATGATGTATTCAGGTTCATCCCAATCCTTTAAAAAGGTACAGAAAGGTTAAAGAAAGCAGAACTAGTGCACAGTTCAACTACATCAAACAGTTTCAGCAGAACCCAAATAACCCAATCATGCAGAATGAGTACAGGTTCAAGAGACCAAGTTACCTCAGGTTTGATGTCATTTGGATCATCAATTTGGATTCGATCATCCCAGTCATGGGGTTTCTTCACTGCTGGATCATTAATTTTCCTTGGTGGCAAAAAATCTAAATCATCTTCTAAGTTGCCTGATGCAGCCACTTCATTATCAATTTTTACTTCGTAAGTCTGATCTGGCCTTATAATCAAAGTATACAGATGTGTATATCCATCAACCTGGGTTTTAAAGAAAGCAAGTAAAATCTTTTTTAAAAGCTTTAAATACAGCTCTTAGGAACTTCCTTGAATCAGAGTTACTAGTTTTAATGGATTTTTTCCTAAACAGTAAGAAAAAAAAGTTTTCTGTAGAGGGAAAACAAAATTAATGTCATGTGGCTTTCAAGTATGTTTTCTAGCCTCCCCTTCTGGATATGAGCAAAACAAAATGGTTGCAAGAAAACAGTCCACATCTGATTGGCAAAAGGAAATGTCACAAGATTGACTATAGTGGCATATAAAATGATTATCTAAGTTATTTACACCCCAAATAGCTGAAACAAAGGCACATGAAGTTTACTGCATAGCTTGAGAACAAAAATATTTAAAGTATAACCACCCACTTGCATTTCAATCCCAGAAAAAGCAGTCTCTTTCAGAATTGCTTTAATTAAATTACAACAAAGAAACAGAAAGACATAAAGTTCTTAATAACATACAGCAGCCTTACAACCTTGTTCCACCCTATATCAGGGTCAGGTGATTACACACAATCACTGAACTAGAAACATTATTGTGAACTGCAAATATTTGATGTCCCAAAATTAACACAATTTTTAAGATATGGTGAAAGACAACTTCTCAAAGGTGATATATGCTTGGAATTGTGTTTTTAGAATTGTGGAATTTTTTGTTTTTAGTTCTTAATATTCTTCTAGTTTTGTTATTTTAAGTTTATCTATCTTTGAAATGTGCATTTACCTTACATCTGATTGGTTTCTTGATTGGGTGGGGTTTATTCTTGTAATTTAAAATAACATGGACTTTCTTTGTCTCGGATCCACAAATATCTGGCCCTACAAAGAGATAACAGGCTTTGCATCCTTAAATTGTTTTTAGAAAGATACTGGTTGTTTACTTTTCCTTCTAACACCACTAGACATCTCTCCCACTCCACATGATTTCTGTAGAATGCCATTCCATTTGTAATCAATGACGTGGCTTCCATTCAGAAGTCTCTAAAGCTACCTTAGAATTAGATTTTGTCTCATCTGAGGCTTAGTTCTGTTACAGCCTTAACTAAGAAAAAAAAAATCCAGGCAACATAAGTTATCTGTGGCATAAGCTGAATAACTATATAATCACATGACCTACATAATGACAAATTTCACTTAGATACATACCCAGAAACTTCACCACATCACACAGGAATGTATGTAAGAGCAGATAACAGCATACAGAATGTTACTTCAAGTAAAGGTCTTCAAAAAAATCTCGCTGAGCAACTTTTATCCTATGCATGCTCTTTGCAAGCATGAAGAGCTAACTGCTTACAGTCACAGCATTCTTATTTTTTATGAAGCCCTCCATTATTTTTCCTACCATTCCAACAACCTTCCTTGAGAAGCTGCACAACAGCAGTGGCAATATTTTCATAACGCAGAGCAGTAAACTCACCAAACATTATATAGTAACGGGAATCTCCACTCAGGTTCTTCTGATCCAAGTCTGAGGAAAAAATCTTAATGTATCCCCCACCACAATCAATCTTTTGCTCATGTTTCACTGTATATTGAATGACCAGAGTCTTCCCTTTGTTACTAAATGGTTTAAATCGTGAGGAGATTGCATAAAATTTGGAGTTCTCACTAGTTTGAAGACCTGTAAAGATAATTAGAATAACATTCAAACATGCGCTTTTCTTGCTATTTGTGGAGAAAATACTTCTATTGCCACACAGGCAGGTGCTATAAACACCAATCCTCAGCTCCTGAGATGGCTTCTGTGGTGTATTTTCCACAAAACCCACACACCTTTATCTCTCACAGGATCTCCGTAGAACTTCCCAGCCGTGAGTTTAAACATCCCCAGCCTTTCTGCCTTGTACTCGGAGTGCACCCACCTCTTCTGCCAGCCGGCTGCCCCGCCGGGTGGTACCAGCACCCACAGGGGAACACAAAATGGCCGTTACGGGAGGGGACAGCATGAGGGGGTCCCCTTCCTCCCCACCGCTCCCTCCCTCGCCCACAACCTCCATCCAGAAACTGCTCCTGGAAATACACCGCGGCCTGGGCAGCCCCCAGCAAGGCCCCAAGGAGCAGGAGCATCCCCAGCCCCTGCCTCAAGGCGCCGCCACCGCCCAGGCCCGGCCGCCATCGCCCTCACACGACGGCGGCCTCGCGCCTCAGCCCAGCGCAGCGCCGCCGCTTCGCGCCTTCGGGCCCCGTCCGTTCTACGGCGGGCTCTGATTGGCTAAGCATTCCCCCACTTCTTGTTAGCCACCATCCGATTGGTTTAGCCTCCCCGAGGGAGGAGCGTTTTGCACGTGCTCTCGCGGCGCGATGCATGCTGGGGCTTGTAGTCAGCGCTCTGACTGCCTGGCGGCAGCATGCCTCCCTGTGATTGGCTGTTTGAGCTCAAGGTTCGGCGGCGGGCTGGGGGGGGGGGGGGGTTCAGCGCTGAGCCAATGAGGGGGCGGGATGTTGGGGGGTGGGCGTCTCCGGGATACGGCCCCGCTCAACCGCCTCAGCGCGTCCCGAGATGGCTGCGAGCGCTCGGGCGGGGAGGGCGCTGGTGGGCGGCGAGCAGGTGAGGGCCCAGCCTCGACAAGGGGATCCCCGGCCGGTGAGGAGAGCCCTCAGCGGAGGAGGGGCGGGAGGAGGCGGTCAGAGGGCCGGGGGGAGCGGGTGCCGGGCCGGGCGGCTCTGCCTCTGAGGGCTCGGCCGCGGGAGCCTCACTCCGTGTCCTCCTCCGGGCAGGGGCACGGCGATGCGCAGCGCTGGAGAACCGCCGGGCCTTCCTTGCTCCTTCCTCATTCTGGCAGCGACCTCCGTGTGGGAGAGATGGGGTTGGAGGCGGCTGGAAGAGCGCCGTGGCACCGCAGCAGGTTCCTCAAGGTGCAGGATGTGGAAGTACGGGGAAACCAGCGGTGCCAGGCGCTGGGAGGCGCCGTGCAGGCAATGAACAGAGGCGTAGCAAAGAGCGCACCGGGTGGCACTGCCCACACGCGATCAAGCTCAGCGCTGAGGAAGGTGGCACAGCTAGAAAGCAAGATCATGAATCGGAAGAAGCAGATGGAATTGCAAAACGCTGACTTCAGGCAGAAGCCTTTGGATGAAGAATCCCTCTCATCTGCTTCCAGTCTTGAGCGCAGTGCAAGAGGCAAGAAATATCTGAAGAATTACACTACAGCCAGTAGGAACACAGCCATCAGTAATGCCTGTCCTATGGAAGATGAAAGCATCCAAAGCCCAAAGAAGAGTGGTACGGTTAAACAAAAGCTTGGTTTGGATACAGGCAAAAAGGAAAAGAGAGAATTCACAGAGAACTCTCTGGAGTTTCCCAGTGGAAATGAGAATCGGAGGGTTGGTACAAGTGATTCTAAGTGGAGTGGAAAGGTAAACAGAGTCTTCACTGGATTATGTAGCTTACACTTTTATAAGGTATTTTTAATTGGTATGTCACTATTTATTAACAGCAGAAAATAGTTTTTAATACTGTGTTTGTAGCTTGCTTGTGATGTGTTAGCTTCAATTCACACTAAAACTACGGGTTTACCCATTATAATCTCTTTCTCTTTTTGGTGATCCACATACAGTAAATGAAGTAACATATAAATCTCTTTTTCGTGTTCTTTAAAAGAGTAAGGCTCCTGTTTCATTAGGAACGTCTCCTCCGTCTCATAAGGAAATTTCACTGACAGAGGTATCCAAAGCAACTTCTCTTCACAACAAAGACTTAGAGAAGAATGTTTTTGGTACAGTTGATTTATTGACACCTCCACCAGCCAGCAGAAACCTGTCAGCACTACGTAGTATGAAATCTCAATCACCATCTTCCATGAAAGACAATACTGTAAAAATCACCTTGCCAAGAACAGGCAATGCCAAGCAAACCCAAATATCACTTGGAAGTGATGGAAGTGAAATAAAATCTTTAGATGATTTATTTTCAAAGGCATCTGATGCAGAAGATTCAACCAGCATAAGCTCAAATGGTAAGCTTTCCCAAGTGTTGTCTTGATAGACCTGGCACAAATTGTACTAATGATCTACTAATAAGCACGGGCATATACTTGCTTTGAAAGAATTCAGCAGCCTAATTTAGAATTTAGAAAGAGCCGTTGCTAACTTAAAGATTTAAACAGTGACTGTGTACTATTACTTCTTAGTATTACACTTTTTTTTTTCTTTTTGTCACTTCATGGATGCGTACTGTAACTTTCATGTGAGGCCTCATGGTGGTTTGTCACTCAATTGCAGACTTCAGACTGAATATCCTGAGCCTTGATGATTTGGCATCAAATATCACCAGTGAGATAGCAGTATTAAAGCAGAAAGTAAGTAGAAATTCCACACTAGTTCATATCTCTGTTCTGCCATCGTTTGGTGAAGGGTGGAGGTTCTAAAATAAGTATTTCTGTTCTACCCATAAGCTATCGGAGATGGGCATGGCTCACTAGCTATAAAGGTTAGCTCAGGATTTTGCAGTCTACTGCAACCTGACCAAATTCTTTTTGTGTGTCTTTGCACTTCCTTATTAAACTGACAACAATGTAACGTTTGCAAAGTGACACATAAAAGCAATGTTTTTATCTCCTAATAAAGGAGCTGACTCTGTCACATGCAGTGGAAATGATAGAGATTAAGGCATGTTATGGTTATGTACTGTTGATTCCTCTAACATACAGCTGTTTGATTTTACAGGGGACAGACATTGAAATTACTCAAGAATCAAACAGAAATCCAAAAAAAGATACATTCCAGGTAGAAAAGGACCAACTCTCTCTTAAAATAAGTACAGTAACTGGTGTGAGTAATCCTGAAGGGGATACTGAAAAAAATGTGACTGAAGCTGATATCTCTGAACATTTAGGTGAAGTTTCTGCAGATTTTTCTAGACAGGGACAGGATTATCCTGATTGTGATGAGAGAACTGTTAATTCAGAATATTCTGAAGACTTTGAAAAGTCTCTGTCCACAACAGATGGGGAAGCTGTATCAGAAATGTCAGAGGAACATTCTGAGAGTAGCACGTATTCTGGAAAAGACCCATCTTCTTCAACATCAACACCTTTGCGTACTAGAGAGAGGCACGAACGGGTGCGCAGGGTGACTGTAAAAGAAACTGCAGTTCAGACAGTGGATTCTCCCTTCACCTATTGCTGGTCAAAGAGTAAGTTCATGTTTAAGTCAAGATACCGCCCTCTTCAGTCTTGAGCTTTTTCATGTGTTATATTTTAACCTAGTCAGCATTAATATATAGTTGTTAATTCAAGTACTGATGTTTTGAAGGACTGATAAACCAAATTCTAATGCTGAACCCTCCAAACCCAGTAACTGATTCTATCCTATACACAGCAAACAACACTGCAGTACTTGGCCCACCTGTGGGAAACAGCTACATTGATCCAGTACCTATTGCCAGTCACATCATCAGCATGGATGCAGTAGAAGGTAATGAAAAACATTACTTCTTAATGCTATTTTACTGTGTTTTAAATTCCTACGCAGGTTGTTTAGCACTTACTAGCTGACTGTCATCTGTTACTAAGCACACACTCTTCTTTCTTGCAGCCTTGACAGCGTACAATCCATCAGTGCTTGTTTTAAATGCCATGCTAAAACAGCACTTGATGTTGACCCAGCAGTTTGTGGAGAACATTCAGCACCTTCATTTATGCCTGGTGGAGTCATTAGAGAATGAGAAGTTCCACTATCACACACTAGAAGAGGCTAAAGAGGTATGATAGACTAGATGGCAACCTTGATAAGAGTAAATATATAGTCCTTTCCAAACAATTCTAATATTTGCAGCTCATATTGCTTTAATTGTATTAACATTGAATAAATTAATAATAGAAGACTGTATTATTCATCCCTCTATTAAGAGCAAGCCAGGTATTTATGTAAAAAAGACAGAACTGAAGTCTTATTGGAAGCCATAGTTTGAAAAGAGTAAGTTTTCTACTCTACCCTTTAGCTGTTCATAAATGAGGATCTTTGTCATGTTACAACAGAAGCATCAGTTTCTGTTGCTAGTAAAGTGCAGGTATCGTGACACAAAGATTATATATGATAAATATCTACACAGATAAATGGTGTATTAATTCTTTTGCAGTATATCAAGAATCACAAATCTCCGCCTCTAACACTTGAACAAGCACGTGAAGAAATTCAGAAAGCACAGGAGGAGAAACTACTGTGAATCTATCAGCATTAAGTAAAATTTACCTTTACAAAGCTCAAGCTGCAACAAGAAGCACTTTCAAACTATACAGATAAAGTTGTAAACTGTGCTAGAACGATTTGTACCAACTGTTTGGTGTCTTGTAATACATAATTTATTTTCCTGCATCTGTGGGTTGTTTTTTTGCTCCTGTATATGATGGAAGGATAGAGATGCCATCCGTCAGGCAAAAAAATAAGAAAAAAATAAGGAAACGCTTATCCCACTCCCTTTAGAGAAGTCAGCACAGCCTGTGTGTGTATCACAGAGCTCATTTATCTCTGATCATGGTAGAAAGGAAAAATCTATATGAAGCACCCCAGCCTGTGATCACAGTAGAAAAATACCATCCTGACCTTAGTGCCTTATTTAAACAAACCTATCAGGTTACTACAAAACCAAACATATGCAATGTTGAGGTAAATTCAATACAAGGGAGGCTTACAGCCAAAGTGCTAGAATCCATTTAGTCTCAAGTTTGAGCCACTGTTTTATTTTTTTTTTTATTAAAAAAAGTGTTTATTGGAAGGCAAAACAATAAAATTCACAAGTTGATAACATACAGGTGTTGTATGCTGATTCACAGACAGTTACAGTTCCACAACTACAGTAGATCTAGAACAAACTGATATTTCACCATATTAACTGAATGGTTTTAAGAGGGTTTCTGCTATACAAACAAATTACTCTGGGAAGAGGTTACCACCACGCAGACCTCTGGAGTGGAAGTGCAGTGTAAGGGCCTAATATCTTTAGCTGGTGGTCTCTGGAAACAATTACAAAAGTTTTTTTTTTTTTTCTTCTCATTTAGGTTAAAGGAAGTTTCCAATAACATTTCACTGTTAGAAACTTGCAGAGCAGAGAAAATTGATTCTCTTCTATTGAACTAATTAGCTTTTATTAAAGGGTATATACAAAAATATAAAAAGCTTAAAGAATGTCTTCCATTACAAAGCATTGAACATCCCTTAGAGCGCTTGAAAAGCTAGAACAGTTAACCCTCATGTTCTGAACAGAGTTGTGACTGCAGCAGCTGGTGTGTAGGGGTGTTAAGTTGTATGGTAGGTTCTAACAAGCTTGCACAGTGCTCATAGGTCACCTGTACTGGAACTAGAT